GATGCAGTATAATTGAATTTAAATTAAAAAAAAAAAACACCAGAGAACAAATGTAAGCATCTTGCATCCATATAATTTCAGCATAAAAACAAACCAAAAAAGTTAGTTTTAGGCTGGCCTCCGCTGTAGATTAATAAACGGCTTAGCTTTTGAAATATTTAGCATACTTTATCCCACTCTGTTACAGTCTTCAAGACCTCCTAGCTAGAAATGATTGATGTAGCCAAAACTCTTCTACTGTACAAAACTCTAGAGAAAGTATGAAACTGAGAAGTAAACTGCAAATTAAGATAAAAATCCAGCATTCTCAGTGTTTTGTTGGGTGGCCTACTTGCATTTAAAAGAGGAATCTTCAAATAATCAATTAAAAAACTCACAGGGAATAAATTTCTAGTCCTGGAATTTCAGGCAGTCCTTAACAAGCCAAACATCAGATCAGCGATTGATGGGGGGCAGGGGTAAGGGGCAAGTTTGATTAGGAAAGAGCTCAAGGGAACTTTTCTGGGATGATACAAATGTTCCATGCCTTGATGGGGGGGGGGGGAGGGGGTGTCAGTTCCATGGTCTATGCACTTGTCAAAACTGATTGAACTGTACACTTCAGATCTGCTATAAATAAGCCTTTAGTAATGTGGTGGTAAGGTGTGGGGGCAGGAGAAGTATTCTCTATTCCTATGATTAGGTCTTGGTCTTTTAGTGAACCTTGCTTGTATATCTGGAGTGTGAACTTCCCAAGTGTTCCTTAGTTGTTGTTGTTTTTGTTGTTGTTTTTCCCCATTAAGGTAGGACAGAATGTCTGGAATGGGCTGGAGTTGGCTATTTCCCTTCCTTCAGGTCACTTAGGCTCTGGTTAAGTAGTTTTCCCTGAGGACAGGCCTTGTTAAGAACACAGTGATCTGACATATTCCAAAATGCTTTGCCACCAGAAACAGGAGCGGATTTTTCTCTGATATTTACTGTGGGGAAACTGGTTGATCTCATGGAGGTAACTCTAGCAATATTTTGGGTCCCCCCTACCCATGACTGAGTCTCCTTGGAGATTTTAATCTCTCAGACCTCTCCACACTGAGCATCCAGTAATTTATGAATTCTAGTTTGTGTTTTCCTACAAAGGTACTGGTTCCATGGTAGTCTCCAATGCTGAATCTTGGCTCTGGTAAGCTACGACTTGCTGCATTCACCTGTCTCTCCAATCCTTTTTTTGTTTTAAATTTTTATTTATTTATGATAGTCACACACACACACACACACACAGAGAGAGAGAGAGAGAGAGAGAGAGGCAGAGAGAGAAGCAGGCTCCATGTGCCGGGAACCCGAAGCGGGTCTCCAGGATCGCGCCCTGGGCCAAAGGCAGGCGCCAAACCGCTGCGCCACCCAGGGATCCCTGTCTCTCCAATCTAAAAGGCAGAGGTTTGCTATGGGTCTTCCCCTCAGAGATCCAAGAGCAGTTGTTCATGTTCAGCTCTTTACTTGTTGTTAGGACAGAGTAGTGACTTCCAAACTCCTTACATACAAAATCAGAAATCAGAAGTTCAGGCTTCTTTTTTTATTTTTTTTTTTAACTTTTTTTTTTTAATTTTTTATTTATTTATGATAGGCACACAGTGAGAGAGAGAGAGAGGCAGAGACACAGGCAGAGGGAGAAGCAGGCTCCATGCACCGGGAGCCCGACGTGGGATTCGATCCGGGGTCTCCAGGATCGGGCCCTGGGCCAAAGGCAGGCGCCAAACCGCTGCGCCACCCAGGGATCCCATCAGGCTTCTTTTTTTAAAGAAAAATTTTTAATTTTTTAATTTTAAATTTAAAAAAATATTTTATTTATTCATGAGAGATATATAGAGAGAGGCAGAGACATTGGCAGCCTGCAGGGAGCCCGATGTGGATTCTATCCAAGGACCCTGGGATCACGACTTGAGCCAAAGGCAGATGCTCAACCACTGAGCCACCCAGGTGCCCCAAAAGAAAACTTTTTATTTTAAATTATTACAAATTTACAGAAAGGTTGGAAAAATAATTCAGTAATCCTGTATAAGCTTCATGCAGATTCCTAAATATGAACATTTTATCACCTTTGCTTTATCTAGCCATTTGCTTAAGTACCCACTCTTCTAATTATTAAGTGCTCAAAATATAGTATATACTTCCTAAAAACAAGAACGCAGCCTTACATAAACACAATGCAGTGACTTATCACTAAATCAAGAATTTAGTATTGGTATAAAACTATTAACTAATCCACAACTCTTTGCAATTTCTACCAATTGTCCTCTAATGTTCTTTACAGCGAAAGAGAAACATCTCTCTAGTCCAGGATCTAACTCAGGATCATATATTGCTTTAGTTGCAATGTCTCCATAGTGTGCTTTAATGGGAAACGATTCTTCAGTCTTTCTTTGTCTTTCATTACTTCGATATTTTTGAAGAGCACAGGCCAGTTATTTTGTAGGATGTCACTCAGTTTGTTTCCTCATCATCTGCATTCCTCAGGTTTTGCAATTCGGGCAGAAACGGCACAGAAGTGACATTGTGTTCTTCCCACTGCATTGTGTCAGGAGGCACAGGCTGTGGATTTGTGCCAGTTTTGGATGCTGAACCACTTGGCCAAGGTGGTGTTTGCTAGGTGTCTTCACTGTAAAGTTACCAAATTTCCTTTTTTCACTAATAAGAATCTAATGGGGAGACATTTTGAGATTATGTAAATATCCTGTCTATCTCTTTATACTTCCTCCTACTAGTCTCAATATCCATTGATGATTCTTGCCTAAAACAATTATTACTCTGGTGATGGCCAAATAATTACTTGTGATTTCATCATTTCTTCTACCTTTATTAATAGGAATTCTATTATAAAGAAACACTGCCTCTTCTCCCATTATTCATATCAGTGTGATTTCTTAGATTCTTATTTTATTCAGTAGGTTATAATATGTAACTAGCAATATATTAACTGCCCCACATATGCCCAGGAAAAGCCCCCTCTGAAAGGTTCCTGTGTCGTGTCCACAGTCTTTCTAACCTTCTTATGTACTTCCTTTCTGGCAGAGAAAGGTATTACAGGCCCCACCATTATGTTAACATGTTAAATTAAAACTTTTCTTAAGCTTATAGGTATTTATTTAATTCCAGCTAGTGTTGAAGATTTCATTGTACTTGAAACACTAAATAAGATGGTCATACTTGGTGATTTTTTCCCATACCTTTTCATGGCTACCTGTAGAGAGAAAGTTTGGGGACTGGCTTAGTCATTTTCTTTTTGTTTGCAGGTGCAGACACTCAAGGCTGACTAGCTGACTAGCTGTCTGGGTTGTTGGTCTTTCTTTGTTACCGTGAGTTTAAAGGACGTGAGGACTCCCACTCTGTTTATTTGGTTGGGATGATGTAGTTTAAATCGGAATTTAAATTGTCTGTGTCTGATAAAGCAGCCTCCTTGTTGACACTGATTCAGAGCTCACAAGCCACCTCGTGCCACTTCCAAAAACACAGCATATGGGAGATGACAGTGAAGTGACATCAACCATCTTGGGACCTTAGGTTCACACAGTGCAAAGAACACGAAAACAATGAAACATATGTACTAGAGGGTATGTGAGGTGTGCAAACCCTCCCAATTTGAGCTGTATTCTTGAACTGATTAATAGGATCCATCCGCGTCTCCTCTATCCTTCCCTAAGTCCTTTTTTTTTTTTTTTTTTTTTTTTTGCCAAGTCTTACATATGAGTGTTTTTCCCCAAGGTCTTTGGCCCTTCTTGCTTTTCATAGAACTCTCCTGAGTGAGGACAATTCTTTCTACAACTTACATATTTTCTACCTGCACATAAACACTCTTGCTTTAGTCTCTGAGGGAATGTCCAATAGCCCATGAGAAATTCACATTCAACATGTTAAAACTGGAGCTCATTTTCTTTCCAAACTGTTACTCCTCCCATGGTCCTAATTTCAGCATAGAGTCCTTGTATCCACCCAGGCACCTAAGTCAGAAATGTGGGAATCATTTTGACTCCTTCCTGTTCCTTACATATCATTTATTACGTTATTCCCTTAAAATCTTATCTATTTTTCTTTTTTTTTTTAAAGATTTTTTTTATTCATTTATTCATGACAGACACACACACACACACACAGAGAGAGGCAGAGATACAGGCAGAGAAGCAGGCCCCATGCAGGGAGCCTGATGTGGGACTTGATCCCGGGTCTCCAGGATCACGTCCTGGGCTGAATGCAGGCGCTAAACCACTGAGCCACCCAGGGATCCCCTCTTATCTATTTTTCACTCCCATTACCATAATCTTTGCTTGAACAAATGCTAGACTGGCTTTTAACTCCCCATTAGCCTCGCATCTGAGCACTAGTGACTATACAATATACTTTGTGGGAATTTTTTTTTTTTTTAAGATTTATTTATTCATGAGACACACACGCACACAGAGGCAGAGACACAGGCAGAGGGAGAAGCAAGCTCCCCGCATGGAGCCCGATGTGAGACTCGATCCGGGGTCTCCAGGGTCACGTCCTGAGCCGAAGGCAGGCGCCCAACCGCGGAGCCACCCAGGCGTCCCAGTGGGCATTTTTTTTTTTAAAGTTAATTGCTTATGATATCTTTTTTGCCATGCTTCACTCCCGCCTGATTTAATACTGCTTCAGGTTACCCCGGACAACACAGCACTCAATCGCCTTCTGGCTCGCTGCTCGGTGTGAGTTGCTGTAGCTTGTCTTACTATGTAATCATCAGAAACCCTTCCTGCTGCCAGCTTCCCGAGACCTCAATGGATCAACATAAAACAAAAAAAATCCCTCCGGGAAGGCTAATACGCAAAGACAGAAGTCGTCCGCAACCAACACCTAACCGTAGAATCACGGCCGTGCTAAGTCTGGTTCAGGACAGGTGGCGCAAACCACTTTGTTTTGCCCCAAACAAAAATGGACTCCTTCGGAGTCAAGGCCCTTTCCTTTGCGAGCCAATCGAAGTCCAGCATTCAGGGCCCAGGTGTCCTCACTTCCGCCTCGTCTTCCTGGGTTTCTAAGTTGCCGAGGGGGCACGGTCGGCTTCCGACTCGGAGAGGCTTGTGGCGGCGCCCGGGCGGCGAGGCCCGGAGGCAGCGGGCGGGATGAACGGGGCGCGCGGCGGAGCGGTGCGGACGCTGCGGGTCCCGGGCCGCCACGGCTACGCGGCCGAGTTCTCCCCGTACCTGCCGGGCCGGCTGGCGTGCGCCGCAGCCCAGCACTACGGCATCGCGGGTGAGGCCGCGCCGCCGGGGCGGGGGCGGGTTCCAGTCGAGCCCCAGCTTCCCCCCAGCTTCCCCCCAGCTTCCCCCCGCGGTCAGAAAGCGCTTCCGACAGCAGCCAGCGCCGCAGATGGCCACCGGGGGCAGCCTAGGCTCGCGCCAGTTCCCGCCGCTCTCTTGTCCCGCGTGCGGAGCGGGTCTGGAGACCGAGTCCGTGGCTCCCTGCGGTGCGGAAGCGGCACGCGGCCGGCGCCTGCAGCCCGGCGTCCTGCCTTATTCCCCCCCCCCCGTCGGCCGACTCCGCCGCCCCGACCTTTTACCCCTGCCCCCGCCCGAGGCCCGCGGGGCGCACCTGTGGGGCGCGGGCTTCGCGGCTGTGCCCGCTGCTGCCAGGACTTGGAAGGCGAGGGCCTGCAGGGTCACCCCCGGCACCTGCCAGTGGGTCCCCCGTCTCCACGGTCGCCATCCGGGCCGTGCGTCTCCGGAGCCGACGCTCGGAGCCTCCCACACTTGGCGTCCTGACACTGATCAAGTTCTGCCCCCACCTTTTGCCGTCTCAGGAAAAAGCAGACAATTGCAAGTAGTTGGACCTGCAAGTTCACGGTCTCTTTTCAAGGGCTAGACTGAAAGGCAGGGTTCGGTCCTTAGATTTTCTGCTTTTAATGTGTATCCCTATTATTTTCATACTGAAGCTATGTGAAGTAAGTCATCGTAGAATGTCAGCTCTTGATAGTCGTTTTTTGTTTGGTCCTACAGATGAAAAAAAAAGTGATTTCTAAGACTCGGGGCGAGAAATGTTTACTTGCATTTTACCGCTTAGCTCTTAGCGCTTGCACTTGCGCGTTCAGATTCACAATACTTGTCCACTAGTGAGGTTGAAACTCATGAATGAGTTTGATGTTTTATTTATTTATTTTTTAATTTTTATTTATGATAGGCACACAGTGAGAGGGAGAGAGGCAGAGACACAGGCAGAGGGAGAAGCAGGCTCCATGCACCGGGAGCCCGACGTGGGATTCGATCCCGGGTCTCCAGGATCGTACCCTGGGCCAAAGGCAGGCGCTAAACTGCTGCGCCACCTAGGGATCCCGAGTTTGGTGTTTTAAATTAAATCCTTTGTAAGAACTTACAAGGAATTGGTATTAAAAAAAAAAACAGTCATGTTTAAATAGACTTTTTCGTACCTCAGTCCACATAACAGAACTTTTAAGATATGCTTGTCCTTTAGTAAAAATAATTCATTTTTGGCACTGTAATGTAGTAGGGGGAGTAGTTTCTGGGGTCTGTAGGTCAGAAGTTTCTCACTTGTGAATAGGGATGATGACACCTATTTGGGAGCCTTATGTGCCTGGCACCCTGCCTGGCCACAGAATATGAATTCAAATATCTCTCTCCTGTCTTGGTGCTGTGTCTGGATCCCAAACATAGGTGAGATAATATTTCATGGTTGAGGCGCAATATAGAAAGACAGAAATGGAGAGCACAATCTGGTCATTTTGTAAGCATGGTCTCAAGAACTTTAGGGAGAAATTGGTGGTAGTAAAATTAGGTACTCAGTGTTCCATCCCCTTTGACCTTAGACGCTCCCCTCGCAAGTTCAACAGCATAACCCTGATTTTTTTTTTTCCCCTTAGGCTGTGGGACCCTTCTCATATTGGATCAAAATGAATCTGGGCTTAGACTTTTTAGAAGGTAAGGTTGTTCTAATGATTAAACTTACATGTGTATTCTTTTGTTGCTATTAAAGCCTTAATACAGATTTTGAATCTTGATGAGTAAAAGATTTTTGAGTTTTAAATTTGCGGGAGAAAAGAAACAAGCATTTGCTTGGCATAGAACATCCTTTTGTCAATAAGTTGTAATTATGTAACTTCTAATTTTTTTTCCCTCGGTGTCCATTTATAAGATATAACACTTAAACATAAAAAACGTAAACTAGTTAGTATATTATGGGACATTTCTAACTTTGCTGTCTTCTTTACATAGTTTAGTTTTACTCATTCAGGAGCTCATTATCCATTTTGTGAGCTACCTAGCACTTCTTGTCCTTTCTTCTTTCTATGACTCTCTTGACTGTTGGACTTATTAACACCTCTGTCAGGGTTAGTCAATGTCAGAGAAAGGAAGGGAAATCTGTCAGAAGATAATTACCTGCTCACAGCTTTGGTGAAAGTTTTATGTGGAAAGTTGAAACCACTGGCCTAAATTACTATTGTCCTGTGGACCACAGAACCCAGACAGCACCCAGATGTGGCATCATGTCCTCATGGAAATAGGCTTCAATAGCCTTGAAGCCAAATGAAGCCAAATTTCTCGATAGGAGACCTAATTTTAATCTAGGTCTGCAGTTTTCTGGCATATGCATGACCTGGGGTGTTCTTGTCACCTCTCTGAAAGCATTTCTGCATCTGTCAGGTGCTTGCTCTACTTACTTTTGTAGTCGTGACGACTGTGTGAGATAATGTGTGTTAAAATATGTGATAAACTTGAAGAAAAGCTGTAAAATTATGATCGTTATTTTGTCCTCAGCTGCCTGTGTACCTAGATTTTCTGTTTCACTTTTCCTGCTGTAGCTTTGACTGGAACGATGGTTTGTTTGACGTGACCTGGAGTGAGAACAATGAACATATCTTGGTCACTTGTAGTGGCGATGGCTCGCTGCAGCTCTGGGACACTGCCAAAGCCACAGGGCCACTGCAAGTCTACAAGGAACACACTCAGGAGGTAGGAAGGCAGTCTTCCCAGACCGGTTGTTTTTCTTTGGATGAAATCCATTTGGGGCTGGCAACATGGAGACCAGAAGTTTAAGCTTTGGTATTTCCTTACATGTTAGATGTCATTTATTATTTGATTATTCAAACATAAAGTACATCTTGGCCCAAGGAACTAGGAAAGAAGAAAAGGTCAGGCTTCTCATTAGTTAGTAAGAACGCCTCCAGTGGTAAGTATGCTGTGGCACCATTTCCTCCAGAGAAGCCCATCACTTTCTTCTCGCTGTAGGCTATGCCTGCCTGCCCTACAGCTGTCGGAAGACAGAGGTAGACTTTTCAGAGACATCACAAGATTGCCTTTAGGGCTTCGGTAAGATTCCTAAGGATTTTCAGAATATCTTGGAGCAAGAGCATCAAATACTGATTATGAGACAGAACTTACTGAAGAAATTTGAAATCTGAAGCTGGATCATGTGTCTAGGTTCTGTGTGTGTGTGTGTGTGTATGGGTAGCATATAGGTTGAAAATAGGCATTGAAAATAGGTTGGTTTTCGATCTTATAAAAATACATACATATTTTTAATGAACGTGATGGTAAAGACAATCCCTCTTGGTGTTTTACCTTAAATGTTTAAAATTTTTCCTCAAGGTAGCAGTAGATGTTTCAAATGAAAACTTGCACATTTACTTTCAAACTTGTGTCTACCACAGCATCTGGCCCATAAAGGCCTCCAATGAATGCTGATTAGATGCTAGAATTATTAGTCTTTTGTGATAAAAAAAAATTAGCTTTGTGAGCATTCCAGAAATCATCTTATAGCTATAGCAATTAAAATTTCTAAGACTGTCATTGAAAATAATGGAAAATTGTAGTTCTTCTATTTAATTGTGAAACCTCTTTGACTAAATGTATTTATAAATGATCATGTTTTCATAGAATCACTGAAGACAACTTTGGTAAAGGAGAAACTTTAGTTTCAGGATGTTCAATACAAGAGTTCTCACAGAGTGGCATGTCTGAAATTTGGACATTTTTGTGGTACCTTCATGATTTTTGCTTTTTTCTAATACTTAATTAACTTAGGGCTTTTTTTTTTTTGTTTTTTTTTTTTGCTTTAATATTTTTCTCTCAAAAGTTTTTTTTCCCCTTAAATCTTTAGTGCTTTGGATTGTTTATCTCATAAATTCTAGGACTATAACCAATAGGTCGTAAAATAATACATCTAGTTATGTTAAATGGCATATATTGATTATATTTTTAAAATGACCCTTACATTATTATTTCACTTATCCTAAAACAGTCCTATTTAGGAAGCCGTGGAATTTATGGCTAATTTAGTATGTACGTTTATTAATTTTCAGTGTATGTTAAAAGTAATATGCAATCAATGAAATAAAATGTGTGTACAGTTAAAGTCATCTCTTGTACAACTAGTGACGTGTGTACTACTCTCTGGGAAATACTGTTTTAGAATGTTCCTGATGATGGTCACCTGACCTTTACTTCATCTCAGTGAAAGTGGATTTCACTATCTCACATGATAACTTACTTGACTTTTAGATTGCTCTAATGGTTAGAAAATTGCTATTTTTTTTTAAGATTTTTATTTATTTATTCATGAGAGACACAGAGAGGGAGAGAGGGGCAGAGACACAGGCAGAGGGAGAAGCAGTCTCTATGCAGGGAGCCCAACGTGGGACTCAGTCCCGGGTCTTCAGGATCAGGCCCTGGGCTGAAGGTGGCACTAAACCGCTGAGCCACCTGGGCTGCCCAGAAAATTGCTATCTTAAGCCCAAATCTACCTTCTATCAACCAACTGTTGTTTCTATCAACCAACTATTATTGTTTCTAATGCCTTTCTCTGCAGGGATAAGACTAAGTCCAGTCCCTTTTTTTCCAGGAGAACCCTTGAAAATAGTCACCATGCCCCCATTTTGGTGTTCTTCTCCTGGACTATGCATTTGTAATTCCTTTAGGCTGTCTTCAGATTATATGGTCTCTGTATCTTTTACCCTCTTGGTAAATTCCTTCACATACTCCTCTTTTTCATGGTTGCTTTTAACATTGCATACATTATTTATTCTAGAAATTTGATGATCAGTGCTGAGCTTTTTAAGATTTTGCCACAGTAAACTAAGCCTCTGGTTCTAATAACGTTACCTAACATTGGTAACGCTGGCTGTAGATTTTTCCTTAGCCATGTCATAGTATTGGGTTACTTTGAGTCCACTGATAAGGTACTTGATCTCTGTTATTTGAACTGCAGTGAAACCAGATTTATATCATTCTGTAATTATGTAACTGGATTTTTTGAGCTGAAGACATCTTTGTGGGTTTTTTTCTTTCAGGCTGCTTTTCGAGGTTGTTCTTCCTTTATTTCTTTTCAAATGCAATTTTTGATAAGCACTTGTATCAGGATGACTTGGCTATTAGTGTTAATAGAGAACACAACTAAAAATAGATTCGATAATCGTCTTATTATCTCACACAACAAAGGATTGGAGGTGGAACAGGTGCTGGCTTCGTTATTAAGGGCTTGACAATGCCATCAAAAACCCAATTTCTCTTTGCCTTTCCACTCTGTTATCCTTAGTGGGTGTTCTTCTTCTTCTTAAGCTGCTTATAGTTCCAAGTATCATCTTATCACCTTTGAAGGTCTAAGGGCAAAAAAAGTGAATGTTCCTGTCTTGGGACTTCTTTTGAGGAAAAGCTTCCTCAAAGCTCTATAGCAGACATCTCTTCAAATCTCTGTAACTAGAAGAGTATCATATCCCTAGTCTTAACAGTGTCACTTGTGGGAAAACAAGCCACTATTCCTGCCTTCATCTAAACAAAATTCAGCCCTGGGATGAGGAAAGGACAGAGTTTTTCCCTTAAAAATTAGGGACAAAATTAGGGTTCTGTGAGCAAGGAAGAAAGGGAGATTGGCTCTTGGAGCACCAACCATCCCCATCTGCTACAGCATACTTCTTCTCTTTTCACGGTCCTTAGTAAAAATCAAAGTATGCCAAGCAAGGTGATGAATAGAGAATTGTAGGATATTCATAAAGGCCATCCTTTGAGAGAATGTGAAGAGAAAGAATTTCTGATGATTGACTTAAGGCTCAGTATAATACAAAATATTTGGCATTTAAAAAGAATTTATTTATTTATTCATGAGAGACATCGAGAGAGAGAGAGAGACAGAGATAGACAAACACAGGGAGAGGGAGAAGCAGGCTCCATGCAGGGAGCTGATGTGGGAATCGATCCTGGGTCTCCAGGATCATGCTCTGAGCCGAAGGTAGGCACTAAACTGCTGAGCCACCCAGGGATCCCTATTTGGCATTTTTTCATTGAAGAAAATACAGCATATATTCAAAGGATGTCTCATACCAAATACTCAGAAACACTTAAAAGGACTTAAGATCAGACAAGAGAGTTTTGAAGAGCTAATAAATATTTGTTAAATAAATTACTAAGTGAACATAGCTGATTTTCCTTTTTTTTTTTTTTTTTCTACCAGCATTTTCAAGAATACCAAACAATAGATTGTTTTCTCCTGTGGGTAATAGTATAGACTAAGGATGAATAGCCTGGCTTCAATCAACTTTGAGTTGAGTCATGGCTCTGTAACTTACCTGCTGTGGGACCTTGGCAAGTTCCTTGTTTCTCCTAACACTTAGTTTCTTCATTTGCAAACTGAGGATAATAGTCTGTGTCAGAGGGTTGTTGTAAGTCCTTAAAACAGAGCCGACACTAGGTATAAATATGAGCTATTATTATATCTTATTGTACTAGGGTTAGAAAGACATAGAACAAATTAGGAATCCTCCACTTAACCTATTTCACTGCTTGATAACTGAGAAATGTCCTAACAATCAATTTTCAGACAATCAGATGAGTAGGTGCTGAAGTGAAAAGGAGAAATCCAAGACCCAGATATATTTTAGGCCTGAGAATTAAAGGGCTTGGTGAAATGGAAAGAAAGGAAAACATGGACATTATCTGTGTGCATAGCTTCTAAACTTAGCATCAAAGCAAGAATCCGATTTTCCTACCATTGTTAACCTGGTGTCTGCAGAGGCCATTCTGTCTTTTGAGCTCCATTAAATGCCTGTAGTTTAGCCTGCTGCTGAATATGTAATAGGAATGGAAGAATAGGAAAATTTTAAAAAGATCCAGCAAGAAGGAGACTAGAGGGTGAACTGAGAATTTTGTTTCTGTACCTCATGACTTACAACATGGTGTTGTAAGTAAGTGGCTCCTACTTTATTTTTTTTATTTTTAAAAATATTTTATTTATTTATTCATGAGAGACAGAGAGAGAGAGAGAGAGAGAGAGAGAGAGAGACAGACAGACAGACACAGGCAGAGGGAGAAGCAGGCTCCATGCAGGAAGCCTGACATGGGACTCGATCCCAGGTCTCCAGGATCACGCCCTGGGCTGAAGTCGGCGCTAAACCACTGAGCCACCGGGCTGCCCTCCTACTTTAGATCTAGTAGGAAATCTATGTAGGAGAATGGTATAATCTTAATTGATAATTTTAAATCATGTGAAACTAGAAATTCTTTTTAGTTTAGCTACAATCTGATATCAAATGAAGTTATCCTATGAGATTATTGGCAGAGCTATTTAAATATATCTAGAATTTACATTTTATGTGGGACAGGGAGGAATATTATATATACGTGTATATATAACACATATGTATGTGTTATATATATGTGTGTATATATAGTTATTTCTGTGCATATTTCAAGAAGGAACAATGGAAAAATAATACAAAAGCTAATAAAAATTGTTACCCTTAAAGGCATCAGGAAGAAATCAGGGGAGAAGGGACAAGATGGACAATTTCTCCAATATAATTTGTATTACAATTACTTTTGACCTTGGAACAGTTGAAATATTTTATAAAATTAAAAATTACCATTTGATTAAAAAAGAAAAAAAAATTGGCACAGCAGCGCCGCGTCGCCAGCATCCGCAGCGCCTGCACTGCCCGCACCGCACCGCAGCGCAGCTCCAG